ATATTATATTATATAGATTAATTTTTTAGGGAGCAAGGAGAAAACGGAGGACTTTATCTGGCTGAGAGCATCAAGAGATGGGGCGAAGCACTCCGTCTTGGAAGTAAGCAGTAGGTTTATATCGACATCTACCTGTTTTAGAAATAAAATTAAAATTAGAGGTTTGGAATATCGACCGCAATAATAGTAATGCAACCCCTGAATTGAGATACAGCCATTGTCTGATAGAGGAGGAAGAAGTGGAGACATCTTGTCTGCTCTTCACTCAGCTCTGTCTTTCTGCTTCATGCTGGATATGAGGCTGAGATGAAGAATCAYACAAGTAGGAGCACGTCTTCCTGTTCTTCCTAAATAAAGTCTGCTGGAAGACAAACAAAAGATGAAGTGAAATGAAAAGAATGAAGGAGACGAGCACAGGACAGGACTTTAGACATGTTGGACTGGTCCTTTCTGACTGGAGGACACTGTGTGGATGAGAGCCATGAAATGTCCATGTTTGCTGACAGAGACTGATGCTCTGACCCCCCTCCTCCTTTCAGGGCGGAGCCTGCTGGAGAGCGATGGTTGACCCCAGGTCTGAGGAAGTGTAAGTGTGTTTTTCCTTTATTCATGACAACAAACCATCTTCAGACTGTCCCACAGGGACATCACAGATAGATGTCAGCTGCTGTTTAAAGTGCAACTAACTGAGGGGCGGGGCCTAAAGTGTGTGGATGAGTGAGGAGGTGTGGTCAGGAGGAGAGAACGCAGCAGCAGCTAGCTTTAGCTTCATGTGACAAGCTAATATTTCTGATTCTAAAGAACTGATTGAGTAAAAAGTAAAGTTTCATGACAAACATACAAACTGACATTTATCTGTTACAAACTAACAGTTCAGACAYCAAACTGTTCAAATATGACTTTGATGTGAAAATGGGTTCTGACTMGACACATTAGTTATTTCACATCTCTTTTATTTAACAAGGTAAAATACTTGTTTGAGAAACTCTAATTACATTCTGACAACAGGGAGAATAATTCACATCAGATTTATTTAAAGGTGTTATGAATCCACCTTGCCAGCCTAGTGATTCCTGACCTGATTATATTTTATGCCACAGCCGTGTCCTCAGTCCTTTGTTTTATTTCCTTAGTCATGTCATGCATTTTTTAAACATCCCTTGTTCACAGCTTCAGCCTGTTTCTGCTCAGTGTTTTTCCCCCTCCCATCATCAGTTTACCACAGCCCCGCCTTCATGCAGTCAGCTTCATGCAACTCACCTGTAGTTCCCAGTTAAAAGCCTTGTCATCAACTCTCAGTCTCTGCCAGATTTTCATGTGCCCTGCTATGAACTTCCCGCAATCTTGTACCTTGTCCCTCATTAGTCCTGGTTCCCTGATCCTGCTCATGCTCCTCGGTTTCGTGATCTCTGCCTTTGCCCTCGTCGGATTCCTCCTGTCATCTGCTTACCCAGTACCGACTCCTGCTTCACTTCCTGGTTTTTCGGCTCTTGGATTTTCCCTCATCTGCGCGACGCTTCATCGGATTACACGGCTCTCGACTCCTGCTCAGTTTACGGACCCACGACTCAAACCTGCTCCACTAAGTCTGGTAATTCTTTTGATTCTGATTCTCGCTTATCCCTGGACCCAGTTCTTGTCTGTTAGACTCAAACCCCAACAATTCTGAATGGTGACAACATCACACGGGCTCGGACCCTTTCAACTCAAATCAGTGATTGTGTATGGAACACCCACGCGAACACCAGGTCAGTGGCTTTATATTTTCTCTCAGTCAAAGTTCACAGTGACTCTGTTAATAGTTTTTCGTGTGTCCAGAAGTTCCAGTCCAACTCGATGTCCTGATCCAGAACCACACCAAAGCCTTGCACATCAACAATAAAATCTGTAAAACTGTTTTTTGAGTTTGGCATTAATTCAGAGTTCAAAGACCGGTTCATTTCAGAAAATCTGGCCATAAAAATGAACTCTGAGCCAAACTCAACATGGCAGGCTGGTGTTGAAGGTACTTTAAGTAAATTGGAAAATAAAATAGATAATATTTTTGAGACACTTAGAAGCATGAGCACAAAACCTCTGGCATCTGCTTCTGATCAATTATTTGCACCTCCACCTAGAGTTACTTTACCTAATCCAAGATCCGAACCTAGACTGTGCCCTCCAGAGCCATTTAATGGGGACCCTGATCAATGTCGTGCATTTCTGACTCAATGTGAAATTCACTTTCTGCTACAGCTGTCATCTTTTCCATCAGATCGAGCAAAAGTAGCCCATGTGACATCCCTACTTTCCGGTAAGCCAAGGCTATGGGGAACGGCTGAATTACAACGAGATTCACTTATTTGCCACAAATAAAATCACTTTGCTAAAGAACTACAGAGAGTCTTCAGCCCAGTTTTACCCCACAAGGAGGCAACCAGAGGACTTCTGGGACCAAAACAACGTACAAAAAGAGTCACAGAATTCATAATTGATTTCCATACTTTAGCTGTTGATTGCAGATGGAATGAGGAAGCTCTTCAATATGTATTTTTTCAAGCCTTAAATGACAAAATAAAAGATGAGTTGGCAACACAAGATCCTCCACAGTCCCTCAGAGAGTTAGAGGACCTTGCCACACGGATCAATCTGAGGTTGCATGAGCGAAGACGAGCTAAGAGGTAACTCCAGAACTTTTAATGAATCAACTTTTTTCAAGTCCCAGCTCCCCTTCAGTCCAGTGGATCATCTCTCTCTCCAGTTCCCACTACAAGTAGTGAGGAGCCAATGCAGATTGGCAGATCTAAACTGTCTAAGGAGGAGAAACTGTGCAGACAAAAGGATGGCTTGTGCTTTTATTGTGGTGAGTCAGGCCACATTGCTGCTTCATGTCCTAATAAGAGTAATAAATTTCCAAGAATCAAGAGCCATGTCTTAAGCCCCGCATCGGTTAGTCACTCACTGCTCCAACTTCCTGCCGAATTATCTGTGGCTGGTAAGATGCTGTCTGTTAAAGCATTTGTAGATTCAGGAGCTGATTCAGAATTTATTGATCATGATTTTGCTCTCACTCTGGGAATACAGATCATCCCATCCAAGAGGAATCACCAAGTCCTTGCCCTGGACGGTCATCATCTCAACAGCACCAGTTCTGAAACTGTTCCAGTTAAAATGGTTATTGGAGGTAACCATCACGAAACAGTTCAATTTCTTGTCATACATTCACCCCAGTTACCCATTGTTTTAGGAGCCACCTGGCTAGAGAAACATAATCCCCACATTGACTAGGAGAAGAAAGTTATCTTGGTTTGGTCAGAAAAATGTTCTTCAAACTGTCTGTTGTGTGCAGTGAGCCCTGACAAACAAATAAATAAAAGTGATTATTGTCCTGATTTAACCAATGTCCCCTCACTTTATCATGATCTCAGTGAAGTCTTTAGCAAAGTTAAGGCCACATCTTTACCTCCTCACAGACCTTATGACTGTGCCATTGATTTGACCCCTGGTTCAACGCCTCCTAGAGGATGTTTGTTTTCATTATCTCGGCCAGAAAACCAAGCAATGCAGGACTATATCAACGAATCACTTAAGTCTGGGATCATTCAACCCTCATCATCACCAGCAGGAGCAGGCTTTTTCTTCGTGGGTAAGAAAGATGGATCTTTGAGGCCATGCATTGATTACCGTGGTTTGAACAATATAACATCCATCCATCCATCCATTTTCTTCCGCCTATCCGGGGTCGGGTCGCGGGGGCAGCAGCTTCAGAAGGGAGGCCCAGACCTCCCTCTCCCCAGC